GAACCTTACCTCAATAGGGTTGCCGTAAATTGGAAACAACTTGACAGTACATAACATCAGCAGGAGCAACAATAACAACAGTACTTTGGTAAGATAATATGTGCTATGGAGGTACTCCAAACTGAAAGATTTTTCTTCTTTGCTTTCAAAATCCAAAGTAGGCTTCAAAAGTGTAATCGTGACCATGTCACTTTAGAAGTCTCATTTTAGAAGTCTCCCCTCTCCAAGTGTGCTTAAGACTGCAGCGGAGTAATAGAGTCCAGGAATGATTTTATGCAAGCCAAACACTTATCTCAACCCTACCCCTGCTGCTTTTCTGGTGAAAGGCCTGTGGTGAATAAGTCACCCACTACATGCTGTAGCTGGTGTGCAGCACATTCAAGTAAAGATGGGGAAATGTTATATATTTAACATGGTTTGAACTTTGAACTTCTGCACTTAAAGGCCATTTTTAATTACTCCTTGTGGGATACTACAGTGTAGAAAGGGTTGTTTGGTATTGAGTTTCAGAATGTATAATCGGAGTTCCAGAATGCAAACTGTTAAGTTTCTTCTTAAATTTCATGTAGGAAATTCATCATCTTGAATTGGTTTTAAAATACTCCAGCAACGTTTAGTTCCAAACCAAATGAAATGCTTTAAACTGACATGGTTTCCGAAGTGTAACTTCAAGGTAGGGAACAATAATCACTCAAAAACTGTTAACTGAGTGCATCCAGGTCTTGTGAAAGCAATATATACAAAGCATTAGAAATCTTTACATGGTACAAAATAAATTGTCCAGAGGAGCTTGGGACTAATTTCGCAGCTTGAATGGATACTCTGCAAAGACATTATTCAAACTGCAGGATTAAAGCCAAGAGATGATTGAGTGATACCAAAAGTGTGAATCAAATTGAAATGAAGAAATTCCTTAGAGAGGCAGAGTGGTAGAATATACCAGATGGGCGGGATATAAATCGAACAAATAAATAAAAAATAAAATATAAATACATGCATCATAAGACCTGGGCTACGATTATTACTTATGAGTTTTAAAGGACAAAGCATTATAATAAGGGAGATATGCAACACTAATCAGAAGTTCAGATATTGTCTTGGTTTCCTAACTTGCATATGAACCTATGCATGAATGATTAGACAAAAATGGAGTATTAATGGGAAGATAGCCAGTACATCTCCCTTTCCCTGTCTAGACAGGCAGCCAAGTTCAGGGATAGGTTGTATGTATACTGCTGTGAAGTTAATGCTATGCTGTGAAGTGAATAATGCTCAGTGCTGCATATGTGTTTCATAAAATATGCCAGATGCTGTGAAATCCATTTTCAGTTTTCAAATCTATCCCATATTACTGTTGTTTCTCTTGATGACCTCTAGCTTTCTACTGTTTGTTATAAATGCTTCTTCTTCTTCCCTTCCTAGTCTGTTTCCTCCATCCATGGTTGCCATCTTCTGGTATTTAGTATTAGCCCATCCTTTTAGATGCTAAAATGTAAGCATGGGATTTTGGAAATTCATGGTCTTATCATCCCCAGAGGTTCGTGGGAGTTTGGCTGGGAAACTCCCACGAACCTCTGGGGATGATAGACCACGAATTTTTTGAGGTTTCATAAAAAATCATTTTAAAAGGATTCTTTCAGGTATTTGTAATAACTTTCAGCTGGGAAATGATGGCTTCTGTCCCAGATGACAGAGATTGTAGCTAAGGTTGTGGGGACCCCAAAACATTATGGTTCTGGTAGTGTCCCTGACTAGTATGCTCCATACTAGTCACCTTCAGGAAACTACCAGATCCATTATGCCTTGCAGTTCTCAGATACCTTAGCCTTGCCCATCTGCTTCCTTTGTCTTCATCATGTAGGAAATAATCTGTTTTTTCTCAGTTAAAAGTGATTAAAGACATGTGAAAAAAGCTCATTGGTTGGTTGGTTGGTTGGCTGGCTGGCTGGCTGGCTAAAGCCTCCAGTATTCTAGCTGGGGAATTCCTCCAGACTTCTGGGGGTTCTAGCCCATGAATTCTAAAATTACCATGCATCCCATCAAACCACAGCTGCACAATGTTGCATCCTAGATATGTATGGCTACCTATTGTCAGGAATGTGTCTCCTTAGATAAGTCATTCCAGTAGGGGGAGGATTCTAAAATTACCATGCATCCCATCAAATCACAGCTGCACAATGTTTTTTTTAACTTATATACCGCCCCATAGCGCTAAAAGCACTCTCCGGGCGGTTGCATCCTAGATACTGTATGTATGGCTACCTATTGTCAGGAACGTGTCTCCTTAGACAAGTTATTCCAGTAGGGGGAAGAGCCAAACTGTAGTACCCAGCTTCCTCCAATACTTATTTCTAGATTGGGTGAGACCTACAAGGTGTGTGAGTGGGCATCTATGGACATGCTTCTGTCCCTAGATCTCCAATTACTGACTTATTTAAGCTTAAACCTCTTTAGCTGTGTACTTTAAACCTTGCTCACCAGCCTTACCAGGAAGGTAACCCAAATAACAAAAATAGCAAGCATAGCCCTTGTGGCTAAGGCACTTTCTTTAGGCACTCTCACCCTTGCCACCAAGAATCACATGGGTATAATATAAAATATTTATTCAAAAAGATTAAAACGTCATAAAACAAAAGAAATACAAAAGTATACCATTGTACTGATTAAATGTCAAGCATCTAAGAATTAAGTAAGCTTCTGTAAGACTTTCCCATAAAACAATAAAATGATTTACTAACTAATAGTTTTACTACTTAATTACTAGGCTATTCTAACTATGAATAAAATCTTCTTAATCAATCAAAGAAGGCTTTAAACCTGCCTGCCTTCTTCTCCTCCTCCCACTTACACACATATACACACCTACCCCCCCTTTCTATAACTTAAATCAAAGTCTCTGCTTCGTGATGGTATCCAATCAGCAAAGAGTACTTTGTTCAGGAACCCATGCCTCTTCTGTAATTTTCCACCACAGTTTCTTGTTCCCAGGCTGGTAATGAAATGCCATATTTATTAGTCTTGAGATGTGGCCCTGGTTTTTCTCTACAACAAAATCTGGGTCTCAGGCTGAGATGCAACAGCTGCAAACTCTGGAAAACAAGTACTACGGAACCCATATCCTCACACCTATCAGTCAGGAGATGTGCAGCAATGAAGAGGCTGCTCACTTGTATGTAACCAACCACCCATCCAGAAATTTGTAGTAGCCTCGTGGCGCAGTGGTTAAAACGCTGTACTGCAGCTAAAACTGTGCTCACGACCTGGGGTTCAAATCCCAGGTAGCCGGCTCAAGGTTGACTCAGCCTTCCATCCTTCCGAGGTCGGTAAAATGAGTACCCAGCTTGCTGGGGGGGCAATGTGTAGCCTGTATAATTAAATTGTAAACCGCCCGGAGAGTGCTTGTAGCGCTATGGGGCGGTATATAAGTCCAATAAATAAATAAATAAATATCATGCTAGCAGAATACTAAGACAAGTAGTAGATATGAATCAGGGGTAATCACTCAAGATGCTTATGATATGGTAAACAATAAACAGAATTTTTATTATTCCAATAAATCCATTCAGAATGAAAGAGGAAAAACCTTCATTTGTGTATAGAAATTGCCTAGAGCTAACTTCCATGTGTGCAAGTGCTGAAGGCCGACATGGAAGTATCCTCATAGCTGTTCTCCCCTTGTAGAGAAAGGAGAACAAAAGAACTAAATTTTTCCTAATAAACCCGGAGAGGATCTAAGGAGGAAGTTGACATAATGGCAGCAAACCACGTGGCCATTTATGGAGAACCAAGAGAAGCCAAGACACCGATTCACACCTGTTATCCATCTCTTCTCCAGTACTCCTTGCTGTACATACCGTAGAGTGTTGCTAGACTTTTTTAATAGTTGTGAGAAAAAAATTAAATAAACAAAAGGTAGGACAAGTGGGCCCAGAGATCTTTTACCCCAGTTTTGATATAATGAATAGTATCATTACATCAAAACTGGGAGAAGATTAATTAACCCAATCCCTGTAAAAACCAGCAGTTCTAGGTAAAGTAGCTTGACCAGGAGAACCGCAGAGTCTTGAGGAACTAAATTGCTTCTAAGACCTACCTGACCTTTGGCAGTAGCCATGTCAGTATCAGCGAGAAGCTAAATACAAAGGCTAGTTAATCTAAGAGGAACTCATCAGGAACAGTGAGGTAGCCCACTGCACAGGAAATCTTGGAGAAAGGGGTTGTGTTGTGATTGCTACGTTTTGGTTGAAGATAAAAGAAAGTGCAAACCAGTTACAGAATAATGGGATTACTGATTCCTCGGGAGAGCTGGATTGTAGGCCCTCATCACTTTGATTCAGAGTACAGTATTAAGATTTCACCTTTCAGAAGCTGTGTTTGTGTGTATGAGAGAAGTTTCTGGAGACAGGAATATTTTGAGACTTGTTTACTTATTTGGAGCGAAAAGAGATTTGTTGAACATTTCTTCAGGATGTTCTTGAAGTCTTGTTTGTTTTATTTTATTTCACAAAGGTTTTTGTGTGTGTGTGCACTGCATTTGTGAGGTGACTATATATATATATATA